CAGGCTCTGCCAAATTTCACTGCAGTAACTGCAAGCTCCTTATATTTGTAAATGCCTTAACAGTCAGTGAGCCAAGCACATGCATTTCATGTTTCTGCATTTGACCTTTTCATCACAAAATTAAGGCAGAACTGCTAACAATTTTCAGATTCTGGTAAGCAGAACAATGACTGTATTAGTGCAGTTGTATCTCGATACAGAAAGACTCACCTATCTGGGATTTTCCAGGAGCCACCAGAAACTGTTCTGCAGAGTCTCTGCTGGGATAAAAAGTTACAAATTTTATTAACTTTAAGTCTTGTCTTTAAAGTCAGAGTAGATGAAGGTGCTAAAGGACAAAACTCAAGAGTCCTTTTTTTTTTTTTTTCAGGTTATAAATCTGCGTACCATTCGACCCATGGATATTGAAGCAGTGGAAGCCAGCGTTGTAAAGACAAACCATCTTGTAACTGTAGAAGGAGGTTGGCCGCAATTTGGAGTAGGAGCCGAAATCTGCGCCAGGATCATGGAAGGTACTGAGTTTTGCAGTACGCATGTTCATCTCATTCCCTGATCTAAATCCTGACAACTCCTTGGTAAAGCCAGATGAAGGCAAAGTTAGGGTTTTACATCTGATGTGCTTGAGCCTGGCTGTCTTGCTCTAAAGACTTTCACTGGGTGGATCCAGCTCGTATTCTGTTGCTAGTAATTCTTAGCCCAGGAACTTGACTGCGTGAGAAGCAGGATAGAAACTTTCTGTCTGAGCCATAGTACATGCAGATAAATGAGCAGAACAGCACGCTCTGGAGTACTAGAGCTACAGGAACAAAACTGTTTCAATTCAATTTCTAAATGTTAATCTATTTAGAGAAAACCACAGTGCGTGGCAACCTGACAGCTGTCTTCTGTTTCAGGATCTGCCTTCAACTACTTGGATGCTCCAGCTGTGCGTGTGACCGGTGCAGATGTTCCCATGCCTTATGCAAAAAATTTAGAAGATAACTGCATGCCTCAAGTGAAGGATATAATATTTGCAGTGAAGAAAACTTTGAATATCTAAATTGTAAATACATGCTTTAAAGTCTTGCTTTAAAAAGTATTAGTGGTTTAGGACAAGTTGTATGCATAACTTTGTTGTATGTTACATGAACTTTTGTACAGTGGGGAAAGTATAGTGACCTCCCAAAGTATTTATATGGGGTTACCCTCTAAGCCACACTTCATATAAGCAACAATGTGGTAATGTTTGTTTGTTCGATAGTCCTATTGTATGTGGAGAAACCAGATTCTAAATTCAGAATGAGGAAAAAAATCCTCCGTTTCTGCTTGGCTTGTAAGTACCAGACTAGCTGTGTTAAGCTGGCTGTAGTGGTGGTTGAGTGAAGAACTGCAGCGAGCAGGAGTCCAGCCCTGGAATGCTGTACAGCGCTCTAGGAGCCCATGGTCGCAAGGCTTATTAAAGGTGAATGATCAAACTGCAGTGAGTGAAGCCTTGCTTTTCAGTTCAACAGTTAAGTGCAGCTGTCTGCACAGAGCGGCTCTGGAGGCCTGCGGTACGGGCTCAGAAAGGGCTAGCGTGTTCAGTTTGAAGAGCGCTCCACTCATGCGGGAAAGCTCCTGCACAAGAGCTGAATAAAGATCCTGATCCTCTTCAGTATGTGATGGGAAACACTACCTGATTTTTCTTCACTAGCTGCCAGATACAGTGATAAAAAGTACTTGCCCAGATGCTTCATGTATTTTTTTTTTTTTAAAACTCATCACATGGGCTAACGAGGGCATGCTCAAACTATAGTTCCTGCAGTGCAATGTATGTTATTTTGTTTAGGCGCGCTGAGCCTGGGTCTGCAGCAGCAGCATAGATCGCGTTTGAAGAGCTGGGAGACAGTTGCAGCAGCCTTTAGGCCAGGGTTTAGCTGAGGGGCTAGTCCTGACAGGCAGGGAGAGCTCTGCTAGGCTTTGTTCAGCAGCTTCTGGTACAGAGCGAAAGCTGCCTCGAGGGGCCTGTGCAGTGCGGCTTGCTCTGCACCCCAGCCGGGCTGCCCTTCTACCGCGCTGCTGGAGAGGAGATACCTACCTCCACAAGCAGGCAGAAGAGCTCGGGCCCTGTTTCAGTCGAGGGCCAGGAGCACCTCTCAGGGCATTTCCTTTTAGCAGGGGTGCTGTTAGGTTCTTAGGAAGTCTGGCTTGCGGGTGAAATCCTAGCTGAATATATCCACCACCACGCTGCTGAAGGAATTCCGTTAACATTTTAATAAAAACGACTGAATATATCACAGGTTACATGAAACTTTGTACAGACATTCTCTGCATAGTAACAAACACTAATGTACTTGAATTTAAAAAATGGATTATCTATAATCCTTTAAAGTGCAATTTGTTTAAGGTTTTAAATCAAAAATGATCTTTCAATAAAGTTTAAGCTGTAGAATTAACTTGAAGTAACTTCGCATTTAACTAAATCACGAATAATATCCCAGTGCCCTATTAACTCCCATTTCAACTGTTTCCTCATTTAAAAACACCTTCCCTTAGAGTTATGGGTAGGATGTCTATTTAAACAAGTTTAATGAAACAGCTTTTTTATTCCACCAGCAAATATGGTGGGAATAAGACTTAATTCTCCAGTTCCCTCACCTGTGCAGTATGCTTTAAGGGTTGGGGGGAGAGGGTATTGGATTATCTAAAACAAAACACGCTGATTCAGTGCAGCAAGAATTAAGATGAGTTACAACTGCATGAAAAGTGTTGAAAAACTGAGCAGACTAGAACTGCCTTTCTGTAATTTGAAAAAAGGGGTGGAGTAGAGCTAGAAGAAAAATGCATTAATTCACCATGATCATGGTCATTCCTATTTTCAGATTTTTATTGAGCTATATAGAAGTTGCTGTACCCCTGAAACTGTAGCTAGAGAACAAAAGTTCTTGAACCCAAGTAAAGAATGGAGCACTTTTAGCATGGCAACGCAATTCAGACAGGGTAGTGCTGCTTCTCGAGAAAAGCTGAGATAGATAGATAGATAGGGGTAAATGGAGCTACAGCATGATTAGCTGCTATATGCTGGTGGATCAGTCGCCGGTCAGGGGGGGTCTCCTTCCCAGACAGCACAGGAGGGGGAGAGGGAGTTCAATCCTGGCGTGACCAGTGGCCTCAGCTGATCCTGGGAGCACTGTAGTCGCAGGTCTGTGTTTTCTTCAGAGTTCCTTTCTGAAAGTTTTGAATGGAGCTGAGTAAGGCTCCTCGGCTTGCGCTGACGCTGGGCTGTGGGCTCGGCTGCGTTGGCACCTCTGTACTCGGAGGAGGAGCTGAAGGTGGCAGGGGGGGGGGGGGGGGGGGGGGGGGGAGGGGGGGTGTGTTCAGTTACCTGTATACGTGATCAGTGCAATGCTACCAAAACTGAGGTGGCGGTGCTGGGGGTATCGACGATGCTCCTGTTGAGTTGAGGAGAGAAGATGTAGGTTGATTATGCCAAGGAGGTCCTGCCTCAGAGGACTGCAGCTGCTTAGCTGGACTTGGTCAGTCCTGCACTATGCACGTCATTCCTTGAATGCCAGTGGAGCGTGAAGAACAGAATGGATGAAAAATGCCAAAGTGATCAAATCCCTCTATCTGCAGGTGAGTTGTGTCATCTGAGACACGAATGACCTCTGCCATGAAGCCTGAAGTGCCTCAGTACTCGGGGATGCAAAACATGACTCAAATGTGATCTTGCACTGAGGGAAATGGAGGTCACTTAACAGGACTTCCCAGCTTCAGCTTCTCTTGGTTGTCCCCAGAGAAGCAGTTTGCTCTTTGGGTCATGAACAGTAACAGACTAGAAGCAAATCTTGCTCCCTGTTCTTATTTACATGACTAACTTCACATTCCTCTGAAGGACCACATCACTGTGCGTCATGACTGCTTGGTCAGATTGTACCCCATTTTTAAAGTACTAACTGCAGATAGAGTTTTTTGGAAGTGTTTTAACACTTCCACAGTACTGTCAGACATTCTGCAAACACGTTGTAACAAATGCTTGTTTCACAGGCAGAGTGAATCACAACAATCTGCTGCTCACACCACTTGCCTGCCTCTTGTGTTCCCACCAGTCACCTTTGCACTCTGGCCCCTTGCTTTCTACCCCCGTCACACCCATCCCGTGCTTCTCATCATGCCTCAGCCTCCACATCCCAACTCCTTGGGAAGCCAGGGCCCGCGGTGGTGCACGCAGGCAGCTACCCCGGCAGCGAGGGCCTGCCCAGGGTGCTTCCTGGCCAGCTCAGATCCAGGCAGGTGGCCCTATTCATCCCAAGCAGCTCTCCCAAACACCCTGATCTTGTGCAACTCTGCTGCCGCACATCGCACCATCCTTTCTACACAAGTCTAATCAAAGATCCAGGCAGGAGTAAGAGCAAAGGGCTTGAGGTGACCGCTTGCTGTTCCACAAGACATCCTCTTGGAGGTGGCATTTGGAGCCCATCACCAGCTATACAGTGAATGATGGGCCTGTCTCGTCTCATATATTCTGGAATAAGTAGGGGCATAATGATTAATATCTTAGAACTATTCAACAGTGAATGTTAACTCCATCATCTAGATCACAACTTACTCCATGGTAAGACCAGAGAGAAATGGCCCCTATAGTCTAACACTTGCTTCCAGTAGCTCTAACCTACAAAGAGGAATATACTGGTAAGTGGCAAGAGCTATGATACTAAAGGACAACAAAGAAAGACAACACAAGGCCAGCTAAGAAACTATTGTTAGTGAAGTAGAACTGCTCGCTATGAAGTAAGCAAATGCCAAGCGGTTAAAGGACATTATGCCACACGGACTGAAGAGGTATTAGATGAAGGATAAAGCTCAACTACAGAAAACAAAAATAGGCAAAAAGTTCTCTGTGCTCCACTTCTATCTCAGTTCCTCACTAACACTTGCTCTCAGACTAACAAGTAATAGTAAAAAAGTAACTGCTGTAATTAAAGAGAGGAATTATACTAGATGAAAGTCATAACTCAAAGCTCTCTCATTTTCTATTTGCACCAGCTTTTGAAGAGAGGCTTTTCCCATATGGGAGCAAGCTGAAAATGCAGAGTATTCACACCAAGCATCCAATTTTGCCAGTGTGCATTAATACATGCTGTGATTGTAGCACTTCCAACTCTTCAGGAGAAATTCTCATTGGCATGAAAACCTTCTGTGACAGCAAAACAGAAGTACATATTGGGCTCATCTTCACTCTCCTCCCTTCCAGAGGAAATACTGAAGTCCTAGTAGAAATATCAGAGATCAACTGAAACAATTTAACGTGCCTGTTGCATGTGGATCAACTGCTCTCTTAAGTAAACAAAACATTACACAGTGTTAGCACAGAAGTAAATGAATTGTATATTGATGCTTTGGGGCCATCTAACTTATCCAAATCTACTTTTTGCACTAGCCAAAGATGTAAGTCAATGTATTATTAGAAATACTGGAAAACCATCCCCTAGGCTAGAGCCCTTTTGTTTCTCCTGTGTGTACAGACTGCCAGCAAAGCGCCACAAAGCAAATCTTGATGCTTCGCCAAGGGAAGAACAAGACCAAGAACCGTTAAAGTAACCACTTTTGCGGTTCAAGTGGTCAGAGCAGAACGCTGTAGGACTGGCATAGTGATGCTAACGCCAAACTGATCAGATGAGCTGCTGTAAAAGAGCCAAGACCAGCTAATCATAAATTAAATGGCTTGAAAGAGATACAAGAACTGCAGAGAACAAAGACAAGAATTTTGGCTGGAACTGCAAGGTGAGGTTGAAGAGGCTATGCAAGCAGTTATACAAGATGCAATAAGGAATGACCATGGAAACAGTGGCCAGGACTCTGTTTGGAATACAAATGCAGTGGTAACATATGCAGTGAAAGAAGGTAGACATTTGACAGAGAGAGGGGCAAAAAAGCCACAAAGTGCTTGGATCACTAAGTAGTATTAGGTCAAGATTCCATGTGTTCTCTTCAAACTTTGTTCTGGTTATTTTACAATGGGGGCAGAAAAGACAGGGAAGTAGGAGGAGAGGCCATCTTCCTTCCAGGAATTCCTCAGGACTAACTATTACTGAAATTGAGCTGCCGACAACATCATACAGTTAAACTCCTGGGAGACTGATGACACTCTTACACCTGAGCTCTACCTCAAGACACAAGTATCTGACTAGCTATGAGCGTTACATATTGAACCCATTAATTAAAAGCATAGTTTTGAAAATCTGCAAATAAATTCATTTCTATTAGTCAATCAAAACCAAGCTGTCCTCCCTCCTTGACATGAGTGGTGCAAAGGAAATCTTAGTTCATGCTGGTGTACTCATATGCAGTTACATCTACAGTTTAAATTGTTCTGTCCCACAGTGAAATATTTTCCTGTATTTACCAGAAAAAACATTGGAGACAAGTGCTCAATTATAACTAGACCTTTCCAATACCCATGTTGGAAGAAGTTGGCTGCAAACACACATTTTACTCATTCATGCAGTTGTTAGAATAAAACACTCAAACAAGAACTTACCAAGGGTTTTTTACAGGGACATTTTTGTTAAGAGAGTGTGTTAAAAGGAATAGGAAGTAAATCAGATGCTGTAAACTTGATGCCTGAATTGAAACAAAAACTTAATTATGAATTTAAAGTGACAGTAATTGTGCAAACAGCATTAAAAAGTTGGCTGAGAATGGGATGCAAACAAAGAAAATAATTTTAGTGATAGAGTTTTTAAAGATGCTGTATTTCATTAAAGTAATCCATAAGAATGTTCAGATCTTTTTCTTCTATCCCCTCCCAATACTAAGCAAGTTCAAGATTTGCATTCAACTTTCCCATATAGAAACAGAGCATCTTTAAAGAGATAAATCATCATTAGCTTACTTTTCCGAAAATTCACGTTCAAAATGATGCATGCTCTATTGAAGACAGCAGAGAAAGAGAGAGGACAGAAGTTAATCATCCGGTTCTCGTGTCAAAGTAAGAAAAACAGATACTGTTAGCTGAAAAGTTAGTACAAAAATCAATACATTCTTATTCACTGTCAAATATGAAGAAAGCAGATTGACTATTTCATATGACATATACAATACTTCGATTCTGAATAACGAACCACAATTTTCCATGCTGTAAGCATTATTATACTTGATGAACAAATACAACACACATGCTTTCAGTTGCACATGCCATAATCCTAGCTTTACAGGATTAAAGTGCGTTTAGAGAGATTTAGCAAGAAATCTGCAGGAAGATTAGCCATAGAAGACGAAATCCATTCTGTTCAAGGAACTCTTCCTGTCATATTAACACCTGTATTTACACTTGGGCTCCATGAATCAGAGACACGCAAGGACAGCACTTGCGAAAGCATTCAAATTGTCTTGCAGAAAGGTACAGAGCAGAAGAGATGCACCATATGGGTGTCTATGAAACATATGTCGTACTGAAGGATTCAGACCTACTGGCACAGAAAATGATAGCCAAAGTTAAGTACAATTGTCACTTTTATTCCTGCAGGGATGCAAAAATGGCACCCTCAAAACTTCTCTCTATTGTAAGAGCTCGCTGGTATTTTATGGGCTTACTGGATTTAGAAAAAAATGCAGTAGAGTTTTAAATAACCCATACCACAGTGTTCTGCATCCCTTTGATCCTAGCCACAGCTCATAGCCGCAAAAAAACCAACAGATTTTCAAGAAAGCAAATAATTGTGCAAGCAGAGGAAAAAAAGGATCAGCATTCAAGGGAGAGTGTCAGAAACACAAGAAGTTCATTAGAATCACTGGCTATGATCTAACAGTGTATTTCAAAGATTATATTTAGCTGAGCATCTGCAACAAAACCAGCCCAAAACATTCCAGTCAATGAGAAAAGCCCATGAGAGCCTATGTTTCTAGTAGACGCCTTTCCCCTCAAAGCAGGTCATCCATTCAATCCTACAGTTGCAGCTATCATTACAAAGGCAGCTGAAGCCAGCAATCATTTTCTCTCTTAGTGTGTTTTGCATTGACTATACCAAGCACTCTTACTGCAACCTAAGTCTCGTGAGGCCTTTGTTCAGAGACAGCACGTCTGAACATGTGAGAAACGCCTGAAGGAGGTTACTTCCCCAGGGCATGTCAGCCTGGAGCCCATGACCCTCTGGTCAGTGTCTCTGGCTCTGCACATACCCACACACTAGTTGATTTGGTTGGTTACAGGCCAGGATAAGGGCCAGAGCTTCTATTGGGTACACTTTTCCATGTCAGCCTTCATTTTGCCATGGCATCGTATCAGCAAGATGCTTTGACGTGCCACACTTCTAACACAACCATGAGCAAGCCATTAAGACAGACTAAAACCTTCATTCCCTTTCTGACAGTCACCTCGCCACACTGATACCCACAAGCAATTTTGGTTTAGAGGTAAATATCCTTAGTAACTACTGGGAAATTGGGAGAGAGAGATACAAGCCACAGATCCATCAGTTGTCACAAGGGAAGTCCTACCATGGGGCCAGTGAGTCTTTCACAGAGTCATTAATAGCATACTTCCTTAGAATAGCTATAACTACAGCACATTGCCAGTGAAAAAAAAATCAAGCACACTAGCTTTCTCTTAGAGCTAATATCTGAAGTTTTTTCTATGAATTCTACTCACAAAAGCATTCCTGAAATGGTGACACTTGCATTTATACCTGATCAAATGCATCAATGCCATCAGCAAGCACACTAAAGCACTTTCCAATGTGAATGCAGTAGGGCAACGTGCACTGCACCACATGGGGCTGATCACTGCAAGTCACCATGACAACACTGGCAGCAGGATGACCAACACGCTGTAACAGTGTGGTCTAAACAACAGCCAAGCTCTGAGCCCAGACTTGAGCCATTCTTAGCCATCTGAGCCACATCTACACATAAACCTGCATCACATGCTCAAAACTTGAAAAAGCTTTCAATCAAGTTCCAACATGTTAAAACAAAAGCAAAAGGTAGTTTTACTGCAGAAAAAAAGTGTTTTCTAAACACCTGTCCATTTTGGAGACATAAGGTTTTCTTTCATGTTTTCAACTACTTCCTTTTTAAAGCATACACAACTTGACATAAACCCTCCCACTAAGAGTCAGTACATCCAGAGAACAGCACTGTTATTGTGCAACACAGTAATTATCTTGTTCAGACTAACTGGAGAAGTTAGTTCACAAAATATACCCTTCAACATACCCTCGTCTTGAAGGAGAAATGACCCATTTGAATTTCAGCACGACTGATTTCAATTACATCACACAGACCGCAGTGTCCTTTGAAAGACTATCCACAGCACACACAAATCTGATTGCGCTGCTTCCGTTAACAAGTTGTGCTGTGTAGAAAGTTCCCGGGATGGGGAATCATATGGCACGAGTCATCATAACAAATGGCAATGCTACGGACGGCTTCCCCTCCAGAAACACATTCCATTAACACCTGTTGCTGCTAATGTTTGCCAGCGCTCCTCTTCTCGCCTTTCAGACTGAAGCACGTCTGCTATTGCTCAATATTCGGATGTGTAATCAAACTTTCATGAGCATTTCTATTGTCTGTCTCAAGCAGATTCTTCACCACTTCCCAACACCTGCCCTAAACATTAGGACAAAACTGTTCGCACAAATTGGAAGAGGGAACTGGCCAAAAGATACTATTTTTAACCCTAATCCATTTCTGACTTGTTCCTACCAGTTCTACTGGTGTTATCAATGGGCTGTAGCAGAACAGGGGAGATGTAGGCAGCCTAAGCTGCTGAATTTGTCACACCCAAAATTCCTGAAACTACATCACAGCAGTACGGGCATAAAGAGACAATACGCAAGAAAAAGGGATCAACAAACAGTTCCTCAGAGTCAACAAACCATTAACATCAGAACAAATGCATATGCATACTGTGACATGAAGGCCAGAAAACATCTGGAAAGTAGCAATGTCGGTAGCACTGGAGTAATAAGAGACTTTGAAGCAAGCACTTATACGCTATGGGTAAATCTTATCGTGTATATCTCAAGAAAGGTTATTAAATGAAAAAAATAACTGTATTAAGAGGTTCTCTATGGCTTTCAAAAGAGAGAAAATGCCCACAATGAGGCTGACACAAGATAAATGTCATCTCTGTGTTCCATCCTTGAAAACCACCATCCCTTAACCATCCTTGGGAATGATACCCACAGCTGCAGGGATAGGGGAATAAAAAACAAAGAAAAAAGACAAACACTGTAAGGACTCTTGAACTTACCTGCTGTAGAGGGCGGAGTGGGGGATGATGGAGATGTTAATGGGGAACTCGCCCCAGAGCCTGCTAAATAAAACAACAGTCTAGTAACTAAAGCTGTGACATTAAAATTCAACAGTCAGGCAAGACAGATTGTTGGAAACAGGCCAACTTTATTGACTGAAGATCCAATCCTGCTTCCACTGAAATCTTGGGAAAGATTCCCATTCACATGAACAGTGTCACTCAGACCCAATCTGAACAGAGAGACTTAACAGTACACAGTATCAGAGGAGGTCCAAACACACAAGAAGCGCACTCAACAGTATTCCTCAATGGGAAACACTTCTTTTCTGTTGCTTAGGCTGTTGGATTTCAGCGTCCAAATTCTGTTCTCCTTAAGAGCTGTGCCACTGCATGGATGGCACCCCATTTCTCCTTCTAAGAGATGATTTTCAGTCAGTTGCTGTACTCCACAAGTTACTCTGCTACCTGACTATTCTACAATAGGCTGCTTTTGGACACATTTTAGCCAGGCAAGTCAACTCTGTTAAACTTTTTGGTAGCACCAACCATTCCTTTTAACTAAATGAAGACCTGTCAAAGGCTCTGTTGTTTCAGAATTTGGCACTGAAGCAGCAATTAAACAGATAATTTTTTCATTCACCTTAACACTTTACTACAGAATACAGATCACCACAGAGTTTCTCCGTGAAGGCTGCATTATTAAATGGCCCAAATAATGGATGATGATATTATTCCACTCATATGTCAAACAGAATGAAGAGACTGATTTATTTTTTTTTTTAAGGAATGGGGCACAGAAGAGAGAACACATTGCTTTATATTAGGCAGCTGAAAATCTGAAACACTGACAATATTTTTCAGCCCTTGATTTATCTATTATTAAATACCCAAAACAGTGGTATCAGGCTCTGGTAGTCCAACATTAATGTGTAAACTGATGATGACTTTAAATCTTTTAAGCCAGAAAATGACAGCAACAACAAAAACACTGACATAGCTGTGTAGAAGCAAGCTCTTCTCTCTGTAGTTACCTGAGTTATTTGAGTTGCTGTATTTTGCTGAGTGTTCTTCCCCGCTTTCATAGGCAGAGCGTTTTGACTTCTTCAAAAAAGAGAAGAAACAGAAGATGGGAATGAATAATGGCTTTCCATGATAAGGATTGAACTGACACACAGATCTATAACAGCCATCCACTGTATCACACAAGGTTTATTAATGCCCAACATCCCTCTCCCCACACCCAACACGTGCTGCTGTGATGACAACAGCAGCAAGGCTGTTCTGCACTCAAATACCTCCAGGCAAGCAAGCGGGGCAACTCCAGTGGCCTCTGACCACACAGGAAAGGCAGAAAACTGACCCACAAAAAGGAAGAGAAACACAAACAGCATGCTGCAGGAGCAGACCGAACCAGGGCTTCAATACCCTCACAGGGCAGCAGGAAGCAGCACAGGCTGTCATCTCTGTATGAGGTGTTAACTAAGCCTGTTTTCATACAGCAACCTCGACCAGGTTAAACCAACATGCACGTCAGCTACCATTGTAACTTAAACTTCTTAGGAAGTGTATTGCTTCGCTACAGAAGTGAAAACAATCAGGAGGTAGTACAGAAAAACACAGGACAGAATAGACCAGCACACCTGTGATTGTGCATGCTAAACGTTCAAAAGAGATGTGTGTCTTTTTCTGCATGAGAAAGATTGCTTACTTTTCGTGCTAAGATCTTCCTTTTCTTTTTTTCTTCTTCAGAGCCATGATGAGATTGAGCTCTTGTCAGCCTTCTGTGCTGGTGAATCTTCCAAATGAAGGAAAAAACAGAAAAAGACCATGTTAAGATCATAAATGTTCTCAGACAAGGCACATGTTTGAGGTGCAAGAAAAGACACTGTAGTCACTTTATGTGTTTAGTTTTCTTTTTTCATTTTTAGTTTTTATCTTTTCTGTTGCTGGTAGAGGATGGAGCCTCATACTGCAGTTAAAATGATCCTTTAACTTAGGAGCCACTGCCTGTGAAGCTGCACCACTTAAAGCACTGAAATGCCATAGTCAACAGCTGTTCTACAACTCCTCATACTGCATTTTTGGGAAAGCAAATCTGTTGGTGAAAGCCTTTATTACTCAAAATCACTTTAAGTGAGTAAAAACTCACATTCCCCCTGTAAAAGTCATAAGGGAAAACGGAATGTCTGTAGGAAATACAGTAAAGAAACCCAGACGTTACCAATTTCTGTTCTTCTGTTAATCGTTTTTCTATGCATTCCTTGGAGGTTTTCAATGCCTCTTTTAGCTTAGTAGGAATCTAATAAAGAATGGAGGAAAAAAAAAAATCATAGCACAAAACATGATAAAGGGAAACAACTTCACTGCTCAAAACTCACCGTTCATCTGATCATGCTGCCCATGCAAAGCCCCACATTCTCACACTATTCCCTTAGTGAAGGAGAAAAGACGACTCTAGGTGCACACTTTCCACTCCAAACCTAGCTACAGATCTAACAGCGGGGACAAAGAAACACTGAATAATGGAAAGATACTCTACATGGCAGGGACAGTTAACTGTTTCGATACTCCGGTCACATCCCCAAACTGCCATGAGGCTGACCACACAAGACACACAGCACGTGCCCTCCAGGAGAAGTGCTCTGGGGCAGCTCCACAATGGGAGCAGATGTGGCTCCCCGAAAGTCCCAGCAGTGCAGCAGTGGAGCTGGCAAAAATGTGCTGATGGTGTCGCCCAGCAATATCAGTTTCCACAGATCTTCGCAATTTGTTTCCTCTCACTGCAAGGGACCCACATTACTTAGCAGCCTCCGCTCACATAGAGCGGCAGCATCAGTCACCCAAATTAGCCTCAGCACAGGAATTACACTTGAACACTCATGGGTCACACTGTGCCCCCCTTCTAAGGGGTGACAGAACGTTCTTGGGTACAATTCACCAAAGTAATCCAAATACTGATGGCAATTGCCATAAAATCAAACAAAGCCAGCTCTCTTCCACCCTATTTGTCAATTAATGCATAGCTTACCCACAGCCTGGCACCTCCACAAATATCAGCAAATCAATGGTCAACCCTACCTTAAACTGTGGTTTCTCAGAGTTTGTTAGCAGGACGTCACTGAATAACCTGCAAGTGGACAAAAAAAATAAAAAAAAGGAGTATTATTCCCAAGACATAGGCAGAACGAACTACAGTGAGATTACTACTGGTACTGTTCACTTAACTCCCTCTTTCTCCTTTTTCTTCTCTGTCCTCATCCCTAGGCCACTGCTTGTTTGGGTTTTTTTTTTTTCCCCACAGGTTTTTATGTACTGCTTTTTATTTTCCAAGCACTGCCATAAAATTAGCAGCATCCAAACCTCAGAACATAGCCACTACTTTGGGCAGAGTTATCAAGACCGCGTGAAGTTTTTTGAAAGCTGACAGAACAGGTATAATTATCAAAGGCAGAGAAGGGTTTCCCCAAAACAAGAACGCCTTTTCCTTAAAAGTATATGGATTCTTTAATGACAGAAGATTACCAGGGACTTTATTTTAAATTTCACCTAAACAAAATCATTGCTCTTTTTAAGAAAACTCTCTTAGCATAACTGTTGTTTTAGCATTAACAAGAACCACGTGAAAGATCAACGAGTGAACTTCACCTTTGAAAAATCTGCATTCTTGTCTGTACTCTGGCAAAGGCAGCTAAAGCAAATATTCTAATATTTTTGCTCTCTCCTCTATGGTATCAGCAGCAACAGCATAAATGATTAATCCTTTCCCATCCAAAATAAAGACACTAGAGGGCAATGGTAGTCTGAAAATAAACTGGCTAGTCCATTTCAAGATACTTTGTTCTGGAGAACATACTAGAAAACTGTCCCAGAAAGAGATCTGAAGCCTGGATCCAAGATAAAGATTTCAGAAATTTTTTTTGTTGCTTTTGCTTATCACAGGCCTATACTAGAGAAAAAAAAATCAAGTCTAGAATCAAGCTTATAAGAACAGTATTTCATAAAAAATTCAGATATAAATCAAATTCTAAAAGTATTTTAAAAAAACCATGAATGTTCACCCTTGTTTACAGGGCATTTTTTGACCCATTCTGATTACATGTCCTTGCAAAAGTAAGCAAATTTATAGTTTATATGGTTATAATAAATAGTAAAGCTTAACAAATATTTAAATTACATTAATTGCATCACACATCTACATAGAACAGTTGCAAAGAGTATTGGTATGAAGGGAATGTAGTTTAATATCCTACATATCAGACACAGCTGGGCATGGATTGTTTGTTAACACCTGTAAGTTCCTGTATTCACAGAGTTTTCTCATAGTATTTCTCCCCTGCTTACATTCTTCTCTCTACCTCCCACCTCCTCTAAGAGCAGAGGAAGGGAGGAGTAGGAGGTATTGAAGGCTGAGACAAGTCTGCAGTGTCTCTTCCCAACCAGGAAATATGAATCTTGGAGCAGCTCTAAATGTACTGCAATCTGCGTCCTGTGAGATCAGACCCAGATTTAGGTATGGGCAATCTGTCATTTATAAGGTCGTGACTCTGGCACCTTGTATGAAGAAAAAAAATAAAAGAACCCCCCACCAGGAACTGTGGTTCTACACTCAGCATGCTGGAGACTTGTCACAGCACAGTGACAGCAGATGATTTCCCTGGTGATACTGTCTCCTAATCGCAGGAAGGGCGGCACTGCAGACAGGTACAATCTCCAGCTCAGTCATGCGCTGACTTTGCTCCCTTTCTGCTCCCTACTTGTGCCCCATACCCGCCCTTACCACTTCACCGCATCACTGGGAAGACAGCCTGTAAGGAAATTTATTCTGTCTGTGCTTCAGAGAATCCCTAAGCCAGCCCTGCGAGAAACCAGCCAGAACTTCTACACATTTCATACCCAGTCCCAGTCTAAATGTCGCTGCAGAGCAAAGCAAGAGACCTATTTTGCTAGTCATAAGTAAACTGATAGCAAAATCTACTGAAGTGGGTTTAAAGGGGATATGCAAAAAGATTCCTTATTCTAAATGCTTTAAAACAATCTGTGCATGATCTTAATCATGCTTGCACTACTTTAATAGCTGCATCAATTTAAACCATAGCACCATGCTAAATAAAATGTATTCATAACAGCTCCAGCACAGCAAGAGACAAGGAAATGTTAAATGAGCATCTATCATATTCACAAGGGATGGGTTCTACAAAGCCTATCAATTTTAAAGCTTCCTTCGGGATACACTATACATCCCTCAGAACGAGAAGCAAGTCTTTCTAAAAAGGAACAAGAGCAAAAAGGTTCTTCCTCCTAATATAATTAAAAACATCACTATGAATATAAAACAAGTAAAACAAGACTTACGGCATCTGTAAGAGCCGTGAAACAGTTGGCATGCCATTCTTCATAGCTTCACAGGTCAGAATGGATTCCAACACAGACACTACCAAAGAAAGAATAAGAATGAACACATTTTTGCACGGCAGGATAGCAAATGATTTAGAATGAACGTCTGGCCCCTAAGTATTGCATCAACTAAGCAGTGATGAAGCTCTGTAGCATGTGGTTTTTATTATAATGTCAGTAATACACATACAAACTTTTCAAGAATGTTAGACATGAGGCAAGGGAATCCAGACATCTAATTACTTATTACATACTGCTTTATCACTCAGTTAAAAAAAAGTTAGTTTTATTTATATGCTATATATATTTCAGGAAGAATACATTTTCTATTTTTACAAATTACTAACTTAATTCTTTCTGGTCACAGGCTGCAAAGATCTTAGGCTGGTATTTCACAGCACTTCAGGTTAGGTAAAAGGTAAGAATACCCAGGAAGCTCAGATTGACATTTTCTCAATTGCGTACTAACCAACAAACACGGATGGTGCAGGAGGGAAGCTGTCTACTGGAATCGTATCTGGGGGTCTTCCATATGTCATTTCATACAGTAAGTGTCCAAAGCAATGTACATCAACACCTTCTAAAGTCTGTGGAGGAACAAAAAAATAAAAAACCACAGCTTGCTAGAACTAATCAGTTTTTCACTAGTTTGAAAACATGCAATAACCCATTAAAGAACACAGCTTGCTAGAACTAATCAGTTTTTCACAACTAGTTTGAAAACATGCAATAACCCATTAAAGAAAAAGAGTGGTCTTATATTTGAAGGTAGAAAAGAGGAACCATTAAGGCAGTTCCTAACCACAACCATTTCCCTGCATAAGTTTAGCTCAAATGAAATCTTCACGCCTCAAGCTAAAGAAGCTACTGCTGTCTTTCTGTATGTGATGATACAAATGGGATAGCAATACAGTCACGTTCTGTAAAAACGTGTAAAGTAGTAAACTCCTTTCATACACAGCAGTTTAGAGAGCCATACACTGATATGAATCACAACCAAGCACATTTTCCTAGCTAAGTCAAACAGCAAAGATTCATAATATAACCGGCTGTCGCTTCACAGAGAGGTAGATAAAGACAGCAGAAATGCATACCAAACAAACCTAGGAGAGTCTGTTTCACTCCTCCTTAGGTTTGTGCAAGCTGTACATACGTGCTAAGCTCCCAGACAGCATATTTCCAAGATTTTTGAATCATGTTTAAACAGAAAAGGCTCCACTTACTGGAAGAGGCTTAGAGCTTTGATGGCACTAACAGATTTGGACTAACCATGAACTTTTGATAGTTTCTTTGACAACACAGTAAAACTTGTTTAGCAAGGTCAGCAAGCAGCTGTTGTAGTGACGCTGTACGGAATTTATTACAATGAGCACTTACAGGCAGGGCAAGATGCTGGCTAAAAGATTGTATTGCTGCAATAGGGCAAATTTGTTTTCCTATTTTTCTAGGAAGATAATATTTTGCTTTGCAAGCCTGCAGTTAAGAGACAGCCTTCAAACAAATAAAAAACAGCTTTTAATAGCTAGACATCTGCAAGCATCTAATCAATTTTCACAGTATCCACCAAAGACAGGGCTGATTACTACTCCCAGCTAAGAACAGGTAATAAGCTGCACTCATTGTACAGACATGCAAGTGAAAAAGTGTGGTAGCCAATATGCACATTCCTATGAAATACAAGAACCAGGGTGGAAAGAGATCTTAAATCAACTGCAGTTTACCTCTATTTGTGCCAGCGCTGCTGTCATGAAAACACTCACCTGCTCTCCCCTTCTACCTGCTTACATTTGCCTCAGCCTTGCTCCAGTGTACTGCAACAAAACTTTTGTGCAGCCAGAGAGTGATTTGGAAGAAGCAGAAAAGGGATTTGATGGAGAAAAGATCAAATTAAAGAAAGGGGGTTGAGAGAAGTTTTTTTTCATTCTAGTCAGTTTTTCACAAATAGAAGTTGAGGATAATGGGATGCATAAGAGTCAGCTGAATTAATTGTGTGAATCTTACATTAATTTTCCGAAACTGTGAAAAGTATGATCGATAAAATGATGGAAGTCCCAACAAGGAGTTTTCCAGATCCAGTAACTTGCAGGTGTCCCCATCCAGCATCACATTGGCAGAGTGAAGGTGGCCGTAAGGAAATCCTTTCTCATGCAAGAATTTTAATACCTGAAAAAAATCCAAGACAGGAGCACTGTTACAAGATGCTCTGATGATCTCAGGATCTTAAATTCTCCAATACTAAAGCAGATACATAATAAATGAGGTCCCTATTTGGAATGCTTGCTCAACTTCACCTTTTATCTACATCATCTTTGGCTGACTATTCACATCCATTTCACTGGTAACGTTTATCACAAAACAAATATTTAATGTTGATGCTCAAAGCAGGCTTATAGACACCTCCCAAAGAGATCTCTGGAAACTAAAATTCACAATTCTACTGAATATTATAGTTTGAATAAAAATTAAAAAACCATATTAAATTACAATGAATTTAAGGCACATGTTCTGCAGGCTATGAATTAATTACTTTGCCTTTTCCCGCAAGGAAAAAGCTACATTACCACCTCTCTCCCACTGCAGCTCCACATGTACCAACTGCCTTTTTTTTTTACCTTTGGTCAGAAATGGCCTCACACATACATATCTAAATTCAACTCCCAGCGGCTAATCTCAATTTACATTTAGCTTTGAAGTCTGCTGCCAAAATAAAGCTTGTTTGCTCAAAAGTTTGTCTACTTTTTCTAGTTAAACCAGTTGGCCTCAAAAAAAAAATTAACCATAAAGGCTGGTAAATAAAGCAAGAAGAAAAAAATACCTCTAATATTTGTCTTCCATATGTTTTTATTTGCTGAAGTTCAAGACCTTGAATTTTTTTAGGATTGCAATACTTCTTCAGGAACGGGTCTTTTGGCTTTGCCTTTAAAAGAAACACACATATCAAGTACCATGCCCAGAAAAGCCAGTAATTGTCTCAGTTTGCTTAGCAATAGATGGTAAACAGTATTATAAGACATACTATGGCCATTCCAGCAAACATTCTACCATTTCAGTTGGTGGTGGCAGGAGGGAGGCATTACCTTATAAATAAGGTCCTTTAGTGTCCCTTTTTCACTGAATGGTCTAATAACCAGCGCTGAAGATTCATTGGCAGTGGCAAAAGTGATTTTGTAAATATAGGGATGCTACCAAAAGAAGAAACTGTAGGTAAGTTTTAGATGACAGATTCTGTAATGCATTTTTGCTTGATTCACAAATAAGAAAAGATGTGCCTGAATTGTATGTTTAAATTAATAAATTGGATTCTGTCAGTGACATTTGCTGAAGTTATTCAGTCTTAACCTGGAGTAAATGCAAAGGAAACTTCAAGGACATTGTTCAGTTTCCACATAAATAATAATAAAGAAATCCACCATCTGGCAGTTTAGACAAATGAAGAATCCAGCCCCATTAATATGTATACATAAACAGCTTTACTGCAGGTTCAAGTCATGCTAAGCTAATAAATTCATTCATGGTTTTATACAGCTACAGCACATAAGGAAACTCAGCATTAATAGCTGTCATAACATTATGTCTTCAGAAATTGTTATAACGACTTCCTGCAACTTTGTGAAACCAAACGAGATGGTACAGTTGGAAAAAAATTACACAAGCGACACATATTTTAACTGAAATTGCAAGTTAGGATAAGACCCCCTGTTCACGTCCTACTCTAATACATCACTTTCAATCTGGTTTGGGGGTTGAAAAGTCTAGTTTTCAGCCTCCTCTGTTGTGTGCATCTGCTGAGTTCCAAGACTGCACAGAGGCTTACCAGTTTAAATACTATCCTTTTCAGCCAGTTGTTTGCATGCTTAATATCCTTAAAGAGAAACTCCTTTTGGAGTCAAACGCCAATTTTTCAGACATAGTTGCCTACTGGATGTATAATGTGGCATTGCACAGGAGCCTGAATTGTACAGCTTCCACTCTATCTCTAAAATATTCCCATCTTAAGTTCAAAGAACTTAAAAAATAATGACACTCGTTGCACTGCCTTATCCACTGCTGCTTGAGAATATCCACAGCACACAGGTTAACAAATACACCTAAACAGCACTATCCTAACAGCCTAAAAGTGTTGAGGAGCTGAAATAAAAGCTCATGATCTCACAGCACTGCACAAGAAGAAAAAAATACAATTAACCACAACTCTGACACTCCTGTAATAATCCTGCAGGATTATTATTTGTGCCGGGAACATGTTACCTCATTCTGTGTGGGAAATATAATTAAAAGGTTTACACATCTTTAAATTTAAAATTACAAACTATGTCTACTAGGCTACTTCTGCTTTTGCAAGATCAGTCCTTGACAAGCACTTTTGTGCTGGCATAATTCAAAAGTCTTCAAGTAATACTCACAGAACAGGAAGAAAGAAGTTTCACAGCATACTGTAAGTCTTTGTCAGACAAGTATTTATCAGGGCCCAGATCAGCCTGGAAATAAATAGGAAAAGAATGGCATCATAATAGATGTTGCATTCCATAAAGAAAATGTGATCTATATTGTGTTCTCACAAATTAAGACAGCTACTTGAAGGTGTATTTTGAAGATAGAGTAAGGAAATTACGCATACAGAATGAAACTTGCTGCATAAAAAGAGGCTGCATAAGGCCATGGTTTCACAATAAGAAGTGTCTGACAGTAAATAAGTATTATTGCCTCCTTCCTCCCCTGTATCTGACGTGCGTTACTACCACTGAATGAACTCTGCCACCCCCACATTTGGGGACTGTGTGCATTGTGAACTGATAAGGCTTAAACCCCCACCTTCTTCCTCTCCAGCAAGAAAACCTTCCCTTCTCCTGCAGGCTTTAGTGATATCCGCTCTCTAGTGAAGTTTCACAAACAGCTATGCTGATATAATTAAAGGGCAGCACATTTCAGCACAGGAACACAAGCAAGCATATAATAGCAACAAACTATTTGGTGTCAATACATGTCTACCCTAAAGAAGCAATTCATGCCTCTCTCACCTGTTCGTTCGTCAGTAAAACTAAAGATCTGAGTAACGAAACCCACACTGTTAAAAAGGATCATCTTGTTATTTTCAGTGAGCAAATTTATACTACGGTCAAGAGCTACATCATTACAACTGAAGAAACAGAGGTGCAGGAATGGGAACAAATAACCAGGCACAGAAACTTGCAAACTGGATTTGCCACCAGAGGAAAGAAACATAAGAAGTTCCTACACCACATATCTGCCTAACGGCTTTCAAGGCTCTTTCAAAGCCTTAGCTCTTAAGTCTCTCTCTCTGTCACTCACACATGGTAGTCAATACAAATAAAATAAGCCAGGTTCCTTAAGAAAGACTTGAGTATGAGATGAAAGTATATATACCCAGCTTAACATGAGCCGTTCCTTTGGTTGATTCTTAATCTTCATTAAGAAGTATTTCTTACGTATTCGCCAACCTACAAAAGAAGAGTCATCAACAGCTTTAATTAAAACACTACTAAATCAGATGGCTTACAGGCAGGACAAGGTCTCTAAGCAGAGATAGTATTGTAATCTTAGGACAACTCATATAGTTGGGAAAAAAAATCAGACAAGTTTTCATGCCTACATGCTCTTCTTACCTATATCTTTTAATGGTTCTACCACTTCCCACTTTGGGTCTTATCGGAAGAACATTGAAACATGCTGTAAGGCAATTTCTGGAAAGAAAAAAAAAAGTTTATAAGAGACTATTGAAGATGATTATCCACATGTTAGGTAAGGTTCAATGCCAGAAGGAAGCCTGCAGGAATTCAGACTGAAAGTCAGCAAAATCACTTTAAAAGGAAATCAGATAAAAACCACAGTTAAAGGACATTTGCATTTTTAACCCAAGAACTCAAATCCACAGAGAAAACAGAGAAAGCACTGCCTTCAAAAAGCTCAGCTTACCGAGTTTGCATTCTATCTGTACTAGATCTACATTTCCAAGTCTAAATCCAATGCCCACAGCAAAGATTTCCCACACTACATTAGAGCACGAAGTGTTTCTGCTTATACCTGCAAAAGTGAGAACTTTTACATCTCTTTAATGTGAATCTACATCGCCATTACTACACGTAAACTAATCCATTCTGTTTCACTATGTGTTACTTCGTCCTTTTCTGTGCAGGCAAAGGTATTTTGCTAGATACTATGATCCAACACACATTTGGGGGAAGGGAAGGACACCCTTCTGGTTACTGAATTCTCCCACAGCTGGGAGCACAACTGGTTTATTCATGAAGCGATTTGAGGGGAAATCTCAGTGAGAAGTGGTGACAGCAGGGGAGAGAGGGAATCATGCCAACAAAGAGTTTTCTCCAACATGGCTTATCTTGGCATAGAAACACAGCAAAAAGGTATGCAGTGATCTTTCTGCACTGTATCTTCTCTCTCCAAAAACAGGCTAGGAAAAAGAGAGAGAACAGTGCAATAAATACCAGCTCACTGCTGCAGTATTTATGAAATAACAAACTGATGGTGTCTCCAAAGACCATAGGCAATGACTCGATTGCTACTAACTTCCCAGCAACCCACTGAAAAAAAAATCTTGATGAAAGCGCTCAAAATTAACACAGAAGTCACAGTGTCTCCTTGAGGATTTAAATTGCTTGCTCAGCATTAGCCAGACAAACTGCATCCTTAAAGAGTTACTAGTAATTTACAACTCCTCCACGCTTATCATAAACATCCGGTAAATGTTCTTTGCACTTTGAAACTGAAAACACAAGAATGTTACATAAAGGGAGAGCAAAAAGACAAGTGAAAAGGAAGCAGTAAGTTCCTGCTTCAGCAGGCTCTGCTTTTATGAAAACAAGCTTTGCATTTTGCAAAGAGTTCGTTTGCCCACGAACTAAATCTGTGGAGTGGGTTTCACCACTAAGGGGAAGTTTTTTTCAGTCTGTAAGACAAATATTTAACCATTTCCAATGGCTGAAGCTGAAGTCAGACAAACTCAAAGAAGAAACATTTAATAATGAAGAGAACTAATCACTAGGATATTATTTTAAGGGATGCAGTGATTTTCCAGTATTTGGGGGGAGAGGGTGTGTGACTTATTCAAGCCTTGAAAAAGTCCTCAGTCAAGCTCAGACAATTAGTTCTAGGAAGTCTCACAACCCAAAGTGATAGTGGGAGCTAGACAAGATGACCACAATTGTTCCTGTCGATTTGAAAAACCTGAGAACCATGATGAATGCAAGATTCAGTGCTCAGAAGACCAGCTGTTTTAACAGAATGTGGAGCCGACAAACTTAACTCCACCTTACACTCTGGTAGACAAATAATTTCCAAACACCAACCCTCTGCATTTATCACGAACAGTGAAAAAGCAGATGTCACTCTCACCAACCCCCCTCCCCCAAGTTCTGCTTAGATAGATCTTGACCCTCATCACTCCTCTGCAAAATAACTCAAATATTTAGAGTTGACAATTGCAGCATGATTCATGCAGAGAGCTGGAGAAACATTATCATAAATAATCACAAGCACAGTACGGTAATTTTGAAGGCTGTTCTCCCCTCCCCCCCCCCATGCTTCAGTGTAAATCCTTGCCAGCATTAATGGAAGGTACACGCACACACTAAAGTGAAACTGTAAAGCAGTTTTGTAATTCCTCACTTACCAGTGTAGTTTACAGAATAGCTGTTTGGGTCCAAGAATTTTTTTACCAGTTCACAGTTAGACAGTATGTGATGAGTAGTAATTACATCGAGATAGGCCTGGAGTCCCTTCTGTCTTTCAGCTATGAATTCACGCTCCATATTTCCAATCAATTTCTTTGGAGGAAGAGGTAGACTTAGAGTTGAGATCTTAAAAAGAGAGGAAAAATTACTAACTTTGCTCTCAAAATGCCTCAGGGATATAAACTAGCAACCCAGAAAGTAAAAGACTCTCAGCAGCAAGCTAACTGCTGGATAACTCTTCTTGTGCAGTGTATACACAAGCCTTTATGTTTTTGCTAAGTGCTGTTATCAGGGTGAGCTAGGCAGACAACAGCTCACATCCCACTGTGAAGAGATCAGTAAGTGGAACGACACTGAAAATGCGAGGAGATAAATTTTTGCTAGTGAGTCAAGCATTTAAGATCACTACACAAAACTTTCAGACACTAAATGGCTACAGTTTTCAGCCAAATCCTTTCTATGACATACCTCTGCTACAGCACAAAACCGAGTCACACCTTACCATTTTCTCCAGATAAAATTTATGCTTTCTTATTTCATGAAGAGCAGATTAATAACTCCCCTTTGCCTCTGCTGCCTTTATAGGTAATTTAAAGCCCTTACTGTCAGTATTTTAAGTCCGTAATTTCAAATGTGGGGCAACTTTTCCATTTACTCTTCTTGTTGCTGTATTTGTTGCTGAATCTGTTGCCGTACAGTTTTTAAACAGCTGGACATCTTTCAACCCAGAAATAGCTTCAATCTACCAGTGGATGTGCAGTAGTTGTTTTATGTTGACATAAGTGATCCAAAACTTCAGATAAAATCAGAGAAATACTTCAAAATAGGACGATGAAAAAATGTACAGAAATTCAAAGCCTTATGTAAGTCAGATCAAAGAGATCATCTTTAGCAAAGAAAACTAGGTTGCACACAGTGTTTACATTCAGTTACGTCATGTGAATTGCCAGAGTAATTTTTTCATGTTGTTAACACGTTGTTGTCCTGCAGATCAAAGCACCTGCCCTGGGTATGCTGAATCTCCATGGGAGTTATCTTTAAGAAATATGTACTGCAGGAATCAATTACACCAGATGCAAGAACCTCATTTCTAAAGCAAACAGTTCACCAGGGAGAAGACCAAGACTTTTGGTGTTTGAACAACTTTCTTTTTAACTAGTGGAAAAAGTAAAGGATTTGTTCAACAAACTGGGACAGAAGTAGCAATCCCTTTCTTTTTTTTCCTTCTCCTTTTGAACACCGAGTTGTCCCCCCCCAACCTTAGCACTTCTCCTGTTTCTGGCTGCAAATCATGGGCTGAAAAAAGAGCCTGAATTACAGAAGATGTTAATAAAAATCATCCTATCCACTGAGCATTTTTAATGCTCTTTTACATCCAAGGAGAATATATATATATATATCTCTCTATCTCCAGGAATAATCTCAAAACCAACAATATACCACGTGAAACTAATTTGGTGAATTACTGGCTGTGACACCAGAAGCATACAATACTTTCATTTGGCAGACCACTCTTACTTCAATTCAAAAACAAGTTTCTAAACAAAAACTAAAGCCATTTCTGGTATTACTCACTTGAAAAGCATGTCAAATCATAACCACCTTTACCTTCTTGACCTGAGAGATAGCTACCGTCAGAGAGAAAAGGACTCTAGTTCAGATGTTTTCAAACCACTATTATGTGTTTTAAAATTAATTCCAATAAACCACATCTGCTATTCTTCAGCAGAAAGTAACATTCACCCCCAAGTTTTTGTAGCTGTCTGCCAAAACACACAGCACAGTGAGAACACAGTCTACCAGAGAAGAGCACCTCACTGAGGTCCTGACCTTGCAAAGACCTCGCATGCTTTCAAACACAAGCAGTACTTCTCAGTGGCCCCAACTCAGCACTGGAGCCAGGATGGGCTTCGCCACAGAAGAACCTGGGAATTAACATTCTTATCTTCAAACCACAGCCCGCTCAGGAATGTCTGTTCAAAAGCTGCAATAAAATGCTTCACAAAAACCAGCTCTCTTGCTGCAAATACTGTACCAGTAGTTCACTTAACAAACCAAAGAGCAGCCAATGATCTCCACACATCTCTGTCAAATAAGCAAAGAGGAAGAAATGCAGGATAGTCTGGAAGGAGCTTCCCAATCCAGTACACAGCTGAGAGTTCAGGGAATCTGGCTTGAAGCTTTCTGATGCAGATCAGGATCACAGGTATACACCTCTCGTTATTTCCAAGGTGTTTGGTAGGACTGCATCCCCTAGCCTAGACAGTTTGGAAAATTCTCAGTCCGTACTATTATTGCATAGGTAGCACCAGATTAACAGCAGAAAAGTTGCATTCCAACTCAACTGCAGCTGTGTGTTCAAGTACAACCACCCAAGCCTACAGAGAGGTCAAGTATGTCACAAGAACGGGAAGAACCTGGGGCTTTACACCCAAAAGAAGCTCCAGCAGTTTTTCCAGAAATGTTTTAGTTTTGAAGGAAGGAGACTGGGTTTTGTTATTTGCTCATTCCTTTATACTCTTTTGGGGGGGTTGTTTTGTTTTGCTTGGAGTTTTTTTACTCTAATTTCAATATATCACAAGAATGAGAGTTTAAAGAGTTTAAAAAGAAGTCATGGGGCCTGAATATTGCAATGAAATATTGTTGCTTGGAGTTTTGGATGGAAAGAACTGAGGAGTGTTGCACGTCTTAATGGATCAGAAAGCTTCAGCATCACAAAGAGCAATTTATAAAAAAACTCCAGAACAGTAGGAAAAAAAGACCAATTTTAACATGCTTCTCACCAGCTACTGTCTGCTGTCTCTCAAGCCCTGGCATGCGGAACTAGGCCGGAGGAGCAGTGGTGTTTGTCAAAAGCAGAGCTGTGCATCTATGATAGAGGCTTTAAACTCTCTTCCTGCCCTTCTGCTGGGCACATAATGAAGAACTACACCTCTTAGGGCAGCTCTCCATACTAGCCAGAAAAGGCTATCTCCAAGCAGAGATGTATCTTTGCCTTTCCAGACTGTGGGAAGCAGAAGCAGGAGTTTGAACACCAAGGGGTGAGCAGTAGTTTTCACTGAAGGAGACCAAGTGCTAATGAACATGGCCTGTTAATTTAGCTGCCCTCTGCATACCCTCCTATCCAAGTTGGATATATATCTTGATGATTCCGTTTGATCTTTTCTAGCCATCCAAGCAGATGAAATTTTTGTCCCAGACCATTGTATCTTATAGCTGCAAAATCTCCCATTTCAAATTCCTCCTTGTCCTGCTCTGCAAGTTGCTGTCAAATAATTTCCCAGACCCTCCACTTTTATCATTCACTTCTGTCTCAGATACAAAGGCCTTTTCCTTCTATACTACACCATACATAACCTATTTACCTTCACTTTCTAGACCTTCCACCTAGGTCTAACCTTTCAGTACCTGCCACTTCTAAATTGTAAGTCTTAAAGGTCCATTACCTTTTCTACTAGAGCTATCTCATTTGAAAGTTAAATGAGAAGGTAACAAAGCTTTTTCATGCCTTAATGTATTCTATTCCCCTCAGTTAAGAGGAGCTTGTTACAGGTGGCTACAAAAGTGAAATCTTTCTTCCCTTTAAAACTTACTCAAAATTCTCTCTCTGTGATCTCTGTCAAGACTTGACTATGGTTAAGACTACAATGACGACTATGTACTGTGACAGACTAGTACCATCTCATTTCCTTGCATTCCCCTGGGTGCTTATCTAATCTTAAATCTTGGATTTCTTTGGAGCAGGAGACATCTTTGTATTGCATTTATTCAGCACATCACACAAGAGGTTTCTAGGTCATGATAAAAGTTTCTACATTCCTACTGCACATTCAATAAAATAATCCCACAATGCAACCATGTTGCATCTGTCAAATTATGACTAATTTGTTCCCCCACCCACCTTCTAGCATAGGAATCTGTTATAGCAGACTATCAGAGTGCGCCGTGCAACATCCTTACGTGGTTTTGCTCACTGAGGTTCATCGAGCAGATAGCTGATTTGATGGGGGGCATGTGGAGGGAGAGGAAGTGGAAGCAATATTAAGCTCCTGAATTCGCGCAACATTTAACAGGGGAAAACATTTCCAAAGTCACAAAAATCCTCAAATCACAGAAGCATTCATTTTTTATCTTGCTTGCATAGTACTATGGAAATCTTGAGTAACAGGTTTCACTCCCGTAGATGCTAGTCACTGCTGCTTCCCCCCTTTTCCCAAACACACTCATATACCCTGCTTTTTCCCACACAAACTAAAAAGAAATAATTGTCCTAAAAAGGAAAAGGAAACACACAGTAAGTCCAGTGTTTAACTACGGAACACTTTCCAGTGATACAGAAAACCATCACATGATAAGTAGCATCTGGTAGCGCTTTTAGATGAATATAAATAATGAGACACATAGCACTTCAATGCTGAATTTGTAAGGTTGGTATGTGCCTTGGCTTTCTTCAAATCAAAGGGGGAACAAATAATAACACATAAAACCGGAACAAGTCACAGTACTGAAGGGAAAGATTCAGTATCTGCCAATTTCCTCCACTCCTGTATAAATCGGTCCCGTTGATACTAACATTGAAATTTTACAAGAGGAAACGTAAGTGTGAAGAAAGTATACATTCAAGTTACATTTGAAGTTGGTTTCTCTTTACAGGTACGGTGAATTTGTATTTTTTTCTTCAGTGCAATGTATAAAAATACCACAAGCCATTTTAAACATACCCTTCTAAATGACATTTGATATTTATATATCAAGGGCGAAAGTTACCTGCAAGCTATTATTAAGCAAGTCAAAGTCACTGTATCGTCTCACAATCTGCAAAATAAAAGACAAAGTTCAGGAAACATTACTTTTCCCATTAGCATTTTACCCTTCAAAATCCCATCAGAGAAAAGTAATTCCTATTTATAATCTTATTCTTTTAATCATTTTTGTAGAAATGCATAACTGCTGGATTTACGTCACGTTGCCAGAGAGTTCTTAATCACATCTCGACCAGAACAAAAATACATTTCTAAACATTACCTTAAAACAACTTAAAAAGAAAATATTGGTGAGCAAAGCTGTCTGCAAACAAAGCATTTTTGCCATATTAGAGGCAACAACTTTTCAGAGTCATCTTCATTGCTACTTCTGTGTTTCGTTGGTCATGTATCAGCAAGGCTGTGATTTTAGCACCAAGGCAGGCAAATTGGCATTTAAGATTTAAAAATTATGGTCCTACCAACACACAGTAGTAACACAACAGGCATTTTTCCTGGAATATTCACAGTAGCAGCAGACAACATGCCTTCTGTAGCTGGCAGCGGTACTGTTTTTATCTTAGTTTTTGACCAAAAGTATTCAAGCATTTAATGTTCTGAATTCCAAACCAACATTCCCCTCTCCAGCTCAAATTTAAAAAGCTAGGAAGAGACAATTCTCAAATTCTTCCTAAAAAGACATCTTGGTTACATGAACCACAGTTTAAGAAATTACCTGCCAGCTGTTTTCTGCTGAAACTCCTCTCTGAACACGGATTATGTATTCCTAATGAAAGGAAAAAGTTATTAGAAATGAGAACTAATGAGCTGAAGAAAGTTATTAAGTACTTCTCCAAATATGACCACTATCCAATTAGGAAACATCCAGAAACAGAAAATTCAGATCCAGATTTTAAGTGCCTAGGTGAAGGTCAGAGCTGGGTTTGCTCAGACCCATCACTAGCATCTGTCTCTCTCTGCTTCACAGAGTAGAAGACAAAGAGAAGTCCAAGAGCTTGGAGACCTGTGAAGTGCTTGAACGGTTTCATTTAGTTAAGGAAAGAGATCGCAAGAGCATACTTGCCACACATCTCTACCAACAACAGCTGAAGAAACCTCTCCTTGCCTCACCTCCAATATCTAACAAGCAGCCCCAGGAATTACTGCTGCCACCATAACAGAATAAAATGCCAGTAAATACCTACAGCTGTCCAACCTCTAATCATTTTTGTACAAGAAAGATTAACACCAAAGCTGTGGGGTGTGCTTGAGTAACTAGAACGTATCGGTTTCTCATGATGATAATTCTTCATTTATAATGCATGGTTAATGTTAATTATTTATATATTAGCTATGCAGATACATCTAAATCTCAGTGAATGACTTTTAAGAATTAATAATTCTCCCACCACAATTACATGCATAAAGCACAATTCTTTTCAGTCTCCTCATTTCAAGCTCCACTGTACCTTTTGTAGACTAATACCTGGTCAATACAGCAATATAATTGTTTGAGATTTATCTAATTATCTCAAGAATAGATACCAAGTATTTCATACACCTACTCAGACATACTTCAAGGAAGCCGTGATTTTGTTTCCCCCTACTCTGTTTAAGTTTGAAAACAGCTCTAAAAACACTTTTGACATTTCAAAGATCATAAATGAGGCAAGTCCTTTTCCTAGAAAGCCTATAATCTCCCTTTTAAATATTGTTTAATTAGCAAGGGAATAAAATTAATCTGGGCTAAGTGTAGTAACAGATACTTCCTTTACCATTTGCATACACAAAGCTCTATAAATGCAGCTCTTTTTAAAGCCTTATTATACAGATAATCCCACTGCCACATAATTTACATTGAAAAACATGTAAACAGAGATCCAAAAAGGAAGGCGCTGCCTGAGAAAATGCAATTCTCAACACTGAGGAGAACTGGAGAGTAAGTACCCAGAGCCAAAGGAGGGGGAAGAAGCAACGCAGGTACCTATGCTTTTTACACTTTCCTTCCAGGTGCATCGGTCTGATGCTGTAGGAGAGGCCTATGTCCCCAGTGCCTTTTAAGCATGCCCATCTTCTCTGCTGTGCTTGGCCAGGGGTGACAGGACCCACCACCGGTGCTCAAGGTACCACTAAATCCCTCAGGCTTCCTCATTCGAACACGCTCAGTCGCACTGCACATCTGCAGCTACAAAATTCAAAGTGAGAACTAGAAATTCTAAACCAAATACAAATTCAAGCCATGGCTCACAGGATTTCGAAGCTGGAACATGCAAAAAGCTCTTTGCATTTGTGCCAAGCGAGGCATGAGTACCCACCCAGTTATTGCCTGCAGTGCAGCAAGCATCACATGATAAATCATTTGTTATTCAGCACAGACGACTTCATTCACCCTGGTACAAACTTTCAAATGTATTTCATGTGAAGTGCTGAATAATTTTTCGATTTCAAATGCCACCTAATTTTGCTGAACTGCTTACTTCAATAGGAGTCTTACACAAACAAAAACAACAGATCAGAGCACTATGCACAATTTTCTCAGATATTGAAATTAATGCTGCATTCCATATTACCATGAACAGACAATAATGAAAAAACAAGAAATAAACAAAGGCATTTCCAGCCCCTTGAGTTTATATGCCAAATTTGTCCATTCTGTAACAATAACTCTGTCTGGCATGTACCTGCATACTAACTAGATAATTCAATTAATTGAGTGTTTGATCCATGAAGTATTATAAATTCAGCTTCACAGTTAAAAATCTACTACAGGCATTTATTAGTAACTTCTTTCAGGTACTGTGAAGCATCTTCTTGGTTTGGAAGTTGCCTTCAAAACCACACAGAACTAATTCTCCTCTTTCAAATTAAATGAAATTAAAAGCCTGTACACTGTAGAACATAAATATACTATTGGATGTAAACAAAGTGGAGCACATCAAAGAATCTCTCCGTAGAATTAAATTCCCATTTAATATTTACCACCGTGAAAAATAAGTAGTCTAAATCAAGAATTATGACTATTCCAGACAAGAGCCAAAGGCAACACTTATCAGATGGCATTACCTTGTGTGTTCAACCCTAACTAATCCAGCATTTATCTACCAAAGTTTCCTTCCAAAGCACAATGCTGTTCAGGCAAAAATACTATTCCATCTTCTAAAATTCACTTAAAATACCCTTTATCATCAACAGCTGTCAAATATCTGTAGCAACATTGAACCACCTAGCCTTGAGAACCAATTGGAGACTAGTAAGGATGAAAACCAAAGTCATTTATGTCCTTCATGTCCTTGCAGCTGAATTGGAAGTGACAGAAATTAAAGATGTCACAAACCAAAACACATAATTATTACACTGGAATTAAAGTATCTCTTTTCAGAAAGTCAGCCTGACATGCTCCCACCATATTCTCTTCTCTTACCTATTTGAAATTATAATTACGGTATTTTCCTGCAAAACAAGAAGCCAAAGTCCTCATAAATAGTAACTCCACAGAGCTGACTGCAATTCAACCACTGTTATTATGTTTGGAAACCATGCGACAGAAACCGATTAAAGGGACACCTGGAAACCCAGATTCACCACGAACGTCGCTTTTCCTGTTTTGTGATCTTTGCTCCATTTTGGGAAGTAGGAAGAGGCTACTTCACATGCAGCCAAAAAATTGCAGCAACTGCTTATACAGCAAGTCTCAAAGGAATGTTGGCTGTTTCTCTGAAAACCCACATCAGTGATGATTCACCATGTTCAGCCATTCATCTTTTCTACGATTTTGAAAGAAGCAGAGTTATTGCTCAATCCCTTGTAGCACTTACTCCTTATCCAGTGATTAATCTTCTCTATTGTACCCCAAGAAAACGCCCTCAGGTAGGCAGAACACACAAATTCATTAGAGAACCGTCAAGGCACTTACTGCATACAACCACTCTGATCAATGCGATAGTCGTCTCTTCTGGAGAGCCTAGTGATGTTGTCAGGGCTCAGAGCTCATTCTCACAGTAGGATTGTATTACAAAACTAGATTTGGGCCACAACTCTTTTTTCCACGCAGACTCGAGCATTTTCTCACCCAGTTCTGCTTTGGCACCATACAGCACAGAGCCCCCCCTCTACATCACAGGTTCACAACCTGAAAGAAGAGAGCATCGCTCTCCAGACGTGGTTGTTAGTTCTGTCTGTATGGAAAAGGTAAGTCCCCACCACATTCTCTCTCCATCAGCACTGACCATAATGAAGAATCGGCCACCTCAGCACTACCTTGTCAATACAACAAATGAAGAAGCCTAAATGGTCTCCTGGGGTTTTTTTCCTGAAGTTGACAACGAGATTGAAAGCCAAAGAAGAGCTACAGTAGAAAAGCCATGATAAGAAGTACACCACCATTCCCAATATCTGCCATGGCTACACATAATCAGCAGATCACTGTATGCTGAGTTTTGGTGAGAAGCTGATACTTCCTATTGCCTCCACACAGCAACAAGCTTGTCTCGGGATTATAATTAGCACCACTGATATATGCTCCCCATAGGACCAAAGAAGAGCTTTCAACTCTGCAAGGAAAAAGCCTAAATGCACAAAAGCCTTTCTTACTCTCCCAAATTCTGTTTTCTTTAGGAAAAAACATCTGAATTAGGACAATTTTCTTCTGAGACAGCTTGATTTGATAGTGGTACTGAGACTGTGCCCATAGGAAATACATGAAAGTGTAAGGCAAACAGATAGGCACACTCTGAATAATTTCTGTTCAGCTGTATCATCTAACACAGGGAAATATGATGGAAATGGCTTCAGAAAGGGCTCTTAATTAGCAGAGTTCACTCCTGCTGACAATTTCTGGGATCAACAGCCAGGCTCAGTGAGGTCTGGGTTAGCTACACTCATGCAGAAATTCCCATGGCATTTTTCACTCCTACATGAATGGTTCAAAACCTTTCCTATGACTCAGTTTACCAAACAACTTCAAAGGAGCCCTGGCAGCTGCTAGTGGCAAAGAAAGGTCTCAGCTTCCACAAGAGAGACAACCTCACACTATTGAATTTGCCTGCCAGCAGCAAGCTCAATGGCAGCAGCTACAGAGGAGCCACCAACAAGACCGGCCATAAAACCATTCCTCAGGACAACCTCCCCGAGTCCCTCTGGACTCCCACACAGGTCAGGTTTGTCCGTCCACTGCTCTTCCTACCAGTACTGCTAAGTTCCTGCCATAACCTTGATATTCCAGCAGCGGTTTGATATACATTTTGAAAGATGCCAAGGCAAAGCTGTTTTACCTATGGGATCATTTCCTGGCTGCTCCAATAAGTCAAGAAAGCGGAAACCAGTGCTGGGAGGGGAGGTCGGGAGCAGGGAAAGCTGTATGACCCCAGTTCCATGCTGCCATTTCCTAAAATCTTCTTCCTACCACTACAGAGTGCTGGATAGAGTTTCCGAAAAAGAGTCTTTTCCAAACATCCACATGGATCGGTGACAACCATGCTGGATTTCTCCAATCCTTTGCCAATAACAGTTTCACAATCACTGCCTGGGATTAACGTTATCCCGAATTTACCCATTTTAATGCACAGCCAACATTTAGATGTTTTTCTCCCAAAATTCAACAAGATTATTCCCTGGTATTCCAGCACTTGTTAAAACATCAGCATCAGCAGCTCAGAGCTGCTCAGATAATTTTGTTAACTTTCCTAGGTGAAAGTTACACAGCAAAGCATGTCCAAATGTTTAACAAGTGCTGTTTATCATCTCTCCTAGTTTTTGAAACAGAAAGCAAACAGGAAGGAAAGGCTTTTGCACAGACAAAATAGGAAAGAACAAGTGGCAAATTTGGAGATTCATATAATAAAACATAGAGAGTCTCGCCAATATTGGGTAATACATTCTGTTTTCCCAAGAAAATAGTCTCTAAATTTCTGGCTCAGGATAGTCAGTCTATTTTTCCACAGATTTCTGCTGTACATCTGTTTAATCCAACAGGCTTGAGAAGCCAACCATTATAGAGATTCAGGTCACCTTCAGGTCACATCAACCAGAAGTTTGAAAGGGCTTTATTTTATAAGCATTAAAGAGAGGAAAGCCTAATTAAGCATGAATACAATCCCTGCTTAAGTAGGCTGGATTGGAACAATTTCTATTAAGAAGCTCTTTTAAATGTTTATTTAGAAAATCTCCCATGTGAAAAGTAGCAACAAAATCAGGAAAGCTGCTCAGACTCAGGGACCTCTTTGCTACAGGGCATAGTACTTATTTGCCATTGCACAACCTGCCGTTAAACCCGCCTGAAGTATGAGCAGCAACAGGGGTGTTTACCTGCATTTTAAACAATGCACATGTTTGTCTGGGGACATCATACAGTTCCACACACACTGTATCGCTGGGGTAGTAATGAGTAAGCCATTCAACAAGTGAAAGCTATGAAGTAGGACGACTGCAGAAAAAAAAAATAGGACACACATTTACATGTAACGAAACGTACTGAACAAGAGCAGCCCTGGAGAGAGCAAAGAGAAGTAACAGCTTTCTGGTACCCTGCATCACCATAGCCTTCACCAGAAAAGCAAAATACTCAGTATATTTCAGGAAATACTGTAGCTGATATAAATACTCTAATTACACTTCAAGGCAATGGATTTACTAAGGTACAATATGGCAACTAATAGTTTGAATGCAATGTTTGCAGGAGCTACAAATGCAATACTAATTTAGCAAGTTCACCATTGGAAACCGTAAGGTTGGGTGTCATGGTTTAACGCCAGCCGGCAACCAAGCACCACGCAGACGCTTGATCACCCTCCCCGCCCCAGTGGGATGGGGGAGAGAATCGGAATAGCAAAAGTAAGAAAACTCGTGGGTTGAGATAAGAACAGTTTAATAGTTGAAATAAAATAATAGTACTGGTAGGTAAGAGTAATAGTAATGAAAAGGAAAACAACTAGGGGGAGGGGGGGGGAACAAAACCCAGGAAAAACAAGTGACGCAACCGCTCACCACCTGCTGACCGATGCCCAGCCCGTCCCCAAGAAGCAATCGCTGTCCCCCAGCCAACTCCCTCCAGTTTCTATGCTGAGCATGATGTCATATGGTATGGAATAGCCCTTGGGCCAGTTGGGGTCAGCTGGCCTGGCTGTGCCCCCTCCCAGCTTCTTGTGCACCTGGCAGAACATGGGAAGCTGAGAAGTCCTTGACCAATATAAACACTACTTAGCAACAACTAAACCATCAGTGTGTTATCAACATTATTCTCATGCTAAATCCAAAACACAGCACTATCCCAACTGAAACCAGGACATTGGGATATCTAAAATTAGGTGTGATGAAACAGCTATCTTTCCTGAGCTTAAGCCAGGGGGAACGTGGGGGGAGGTGATCAACATACTATTAAGAACAGTGGAGGAACTGCATTTCCAAAAACTCAAACAAGTAAACTCTAATAGTTCCCTGTCTAAAGCCACCTCTAAAAGTAACATCACGATTTGTTTTTTCCAAAGTGAAGGCAACCTTGTAGAGATTGATTTCCTTATAAAGCAGATGTGCAAAGTCCTTTACAAGCCTTTAAAATAAATCCTACAGTTCTAGAAACATATGCCTCCGTTTTTATATCACAGAACAATATAGGAAAAATATAAATGCTTTTTCAACATTTTTCTCATCTAAAAGCTTTGAGTGTCAACATTCATCATTGCTTAAGGAAAACAAAAAACTCTGGAAGTACGTTAGGAGAGGGATTTATTTCAGCTGCTCATTTCCAAATGCCTTTAAGACAACAATGTACTGTAGCAAAATTGGCTGCTTCACTACTTCAATTTCAACATGAAATGGATGGAAAAGGAAAATCACTTCAGAGAAGAATTAAGGAACATTCAGAAGAAGTACACTTATAACTTGCTAGTGGGTATACTACTTTAAAGTGCTCTAAAACTTGTATGTACAGATGTGCAGTTCTTATTAAGGAATATGTCTAGGTTATTGTGGAAGAAAATAGCATCCTATTTTAAGGCTTAGAAAGAAAGCCACTTTTAAATAGCAAATATATAGATGAAATACTGCAGTATGAAGCAAGTTCAATAGCCAAAACGTATTAATGCTTTAGTGCTGAAAACGCCTCTGTTGTCAAAGCACATTTGGCATAAGATGAGACACTTGCAAATGGCTTAATATATTGGATGTAATTCCATTCCCATTGAATTCAAGGAACACAATGGCAACAAAACAACTTCATTTTCTGCAAAACTGTTGGTACAGATACCTACCAAGAGCACTGAACCATGCCCATGAAAAGGTGCCCTGGCAGTTACAGTTACTCTCTCTTAGGCAGTGCCAGTGATTGAAGCATATAGCAGGAGACAAAATGAAGCTGACAGGGTTTGCTCATGTAATTCCCAATCTATTAAGTGAGGTACCACTGGAATGCGCCTGCAATATAAATTTATTTGGTTTTCAAAATGAAAAGGACCCCATAAACACTGCACTACAGAATTATTTGTAAGTGTACATTCCAACAAAACTCAGACTGCTTATAACACACTTAACCAGGGAAACAACTTCTGTAAAAAAGAAAAGGCATCATTTTCATCTTCTATTATAATTGGAAATAAATATGCAGAAAGAAAACCTCTGCTGACTATTTCTTTGTTGCAATACAAAAGTGTGGAGACTATGTACCAGCTGAGATGTTCCAACTCAAGAACTTCTGAGCTGACTTGAAAGAAACACAAAGACCTTGTGAGCGTATCTGAAAATTTTGCGGTTGCTTTCCTAACAATCTAAACCCCACATTTATTAGGGGGTTGACATGCTCTTACTAAGCAAAAAGTGCAAACCCTCAAAAGAACATTTTAAATACTAGCTTTGTCCCTTCTTAGGTTTCCAGAGAATTCAGCTATATATGTAGTAGTTTCGGGTTTTGTTTTCAGTTTTGTTTTTTTAGTTTCACCTTCATTCCCAGGAAACAGAAACTCAGTCTCTGCCAAGAATGGCCCTTGATTCAATGCTATTAAGTTTACACTTACCCAGTCTGTTGTATTAAATTTAAATTAACAGAAGCTGCTCAGAACAATAGACAAGCAAACTATTCATTTGATACAAGCTTTGGTCTTCTGTGTGGTATTTCACCACATCTACAGAGCTTTTCCTGAAATTCTTCACCTTTTCCTTAGCTGGTTATTCAGGAGACTGGCTATTTTCAGCACCCATAGAGGGTTTACGTTATTACTAGTTCAGTTGCCATGTTAAAGTTTCATCTAATCTGGGCCTAAATCATCTTCATATGAGTGCTTTTATAAGACATGATCTACAGGGAGAAAAAGTATAAAAACAAGTTTAAAGCAATTCTTTGCAACACTAAGCATTATTATAAAATCTTAATACATACTGCTGAGAAAAGAATAGAACATTTATTCATGGATGCCTTTGTATTTCAGCTTTAGAACAAGTCTAGCACTGAAGGCCTAGTTCTCCAAACATTAGTTTGGGATGAAGAACTGTAATAGATCTACAGCTTTTGAAGATACTGCTTTGAGGTGGGATGAGGAACAAACCCAAAAAGCATTAAGTTAATGACAACCTACTTCCTTACATCTATAATATCACAAAGAAAAATACAGTCTTAATGCCCCACAAAAGCACTTCAACCCTTATTTCTTAGAAGGGCTTCATTTACACACCTCTTCAAACACAAGGATCTATTTGTGTGGCTTATTTAAACCAGGGAAGTTCAAATCAGGGACAGCATCGCCCACCAATAAACAAATTATTCAGATACCAGGGACATAAGATGAAGTGTCCAAACCGACAAAATAGTTGACTTACATCAAATAAGACACCAAGTCTGTGTTATGGCTTCCTGTATTTTGTTATCCTACACTGTCTCTATATAAACCATCTGTGCTACACACACTTCAAGCCATCTTTCAACTAGCAACAGGGCTTCTGCAGTAAAACAAACAATTACTAATAGATGCATCTTAGAGACAGATTTTAAATCAAAAGGCACAGTGCTCCAGCATTCTGTTATTAACAAAAGATCAGAACAAATCAGTAGAGAATTTTTTTCTGAACATCCGTTACTGACAGAATACAGAGATGAAAGACAGGGGGGCGGGGGGGGGGGGGGAGCAACATTTGCTATTACACTCATCCAGACAAGACAACGTGCACACATACAGAGTCTGGATTGAAAATTTACTTCCAAGTGCTCATTCTAAAAGAATTTTGTGACTTTTTTTCTTTTTTCCTAACCAGAATCGTGCAAGCCAAAAAGAACACAAAAAGCTATTGTCATTTGCACTAGCAAAAAAAGTGAAATAAGGCATGATGGAAGCAAGAATGAAACTGTAATCTGGACTGCTAACCAGGGAGTATTAGAAGTTACACAACTTCTCATAGGACTTGGCACATGCACCCCTCGGCTATTGAAACAGGTAAAAAGTATCAGGCTCGCCAGAAAATTAACCTTGTCAGTTTTATTTATAATAGGAGTTGCAACAAGTGAGAGCCATAGCCTGCTGGATTCACAAGATCTTCTGGACAATTTCTCTCACGTAACTTCTGTTCAGAGGAAGACTGGAACATTAGTCAATGCGAGTTCCTCGCACAAAACCCACTTCTTAAGTGCAGATTACTTACAGGAAGAGCATTTAATAAGACAGTCTACAGATTAGTTGCATATCCTGTGGTGAACCTGCAATTATTTTCATTCAGGTTAAGAGTATTCACCAGATGCAAGGAACCAGGAAGACAACCGACAACGCAGGCATCAGGGCTGTATAAGGGGCAGAGGAACACCCTCTCTCCATTTAAAACGTGCTTCCTGCTAGCGTACCTGCTGCTGGAGGGCCCCCGGCCTCCCTTTTAGCCCAGCATCCCCGGCTCTCAGCTAAAGCAGGAATCAGAAGCGACAGCCAGCTCTCTGATTCACAGTACTGCTTGGTCATACCATAAGTAAGCCTAGTTTTTAAAGTGGAAAATAACTGCAAACAGGAGATTATGAAATTTGGACTGTTACCGCATGCTCAAAGACAGCGCAATTCTTACAAAGGCGGTGCACGTGTGTACTAGACATCCCAGAAGAATTAATCCGTGGCATAAAAGTCACAAGAGGGCTCGTTCTGCTGAGTGTCATCACTCCCCCCAACACAGAAAGTGGGGCTGTACCCTCAGTTACGTCTCTTGCAGCTTTACAGCCCTCGCTACCGTCGCACGGTACGACCCGGAGGCGAACGCAGCCCCTTCAAACGTAACTTCACCTCAGCTGCCCAAATGGGGCAACCAGAACCCATCGCTGCTCCAAACGCTGGAGCAGACCCCGAGGAAAAACAGAAATTACCACAACTTACTGGGTCAGAAGGCACAAGGCCTCCCTCAGAGCGGACGCAAGTCCGACACAGCCCGGAGCCCACGCACCGGCTGCGCCCCGCAAACCCCAGGCGGTTCCGTCACCGGGAGCTGCGGCGGCTGCGGGAGAACCCGCTTAACAGAACG